CTTGACTGTCATCGAAGGAGTACAAAGACCGCAGGAAGTTTTTGACCTTTTGTAAAGGTACAAAAGAACAAAGTGTCCCTTTGAGAGAGCGGATTAAAAAAATATTAAAACTACAGAACAAATCAGATCAACACAAACCTACACCTTTAATACAAAGCAAATAAATATGTACTGAACACGAATGGATTGAAGTCTGTTTAAACAGGACAAACAACATAAAAATATGACTACGCAAAGTAATACTAACCAGTTTATTTGCATTATTATGACAATATTTTGCAACAAATATGGGTAAAAAAAAATGCTTTATTTAATGAAAAATCTGTTAAATGTTAAAAGTAATTGCCTGGTGTAAATCTGCATGACTTTTTCAAGTGGAGTAAAAAATAATAAATTGTAAAAGAAGAGGTTTGAGGAGCTCAGAATGAAGATTAAAGATATCCATGTTAAATATAAAGACTAAAAGACCATCTCTGAGCAGCATCATGTTCCTCTGACCAGAGCTACTAACATCAATAAAAAAGGATTAAGGTTCATAGTCATGTGGTCAACCTCCCAGAATGTGGACGCAAGAGGAAATGCAACCCCAGGTTGATAGTAGAAAAAGCACAACTACCAGAAAAAATTACAAAAATATCTCTGTGCAGCGTCATGTTCCTCTGCCCACAGCTGCTATTTTTAATAAAAAGTATAAAGGTTTGTAGTAATGTGATCAACCTCCCAGGATGTGGATGCAAGAGGAAATGCAACCCCAGGCTGATCAGAATGTAGATGGTCGAAAAAACAAAACTATAAGAAAAAAACTGCTACAAGACTATCTCCGAGCTTAATGCTTCTCTGAGCAGAGCTGCTAACGCAAATAAAAAGCATTAAGGTTCATAGGAATGTGGTCAATCTCCCAGGATGTGGACGCAAGAGGAAATGCAACCCCAGGCTTATCAGAATGTAGATGGCAGTGTAATGTTCCTCTGACCACAACTGCTAATTTTAATAAAAAAATATTAAAATCTGTAAGACTGTGGTCAACCTCCAGGATGTGGACGCAAGAGGAAATGCAACCCCAGGTTAATTAAAAAAAGATTAAGAAAAAGAAGAAAAATTAAGGAAACCATACAAAACCATTAAAACAAAACTTCAAAGTCAAGTTATATTCCTTTCTATTTGCACATTCACGTTTTGAATAAAACCAAAAAAGATTTTCCTATCAGCCGATAACCACACAAAAATAAGTCGGACATACAAGAATTTACCAAAATTGAAAGGTTCAGCTCATGTCAGTTGTGTTTTCATGGAAAAGTACCAACATCTTTATTCGTATCTCTACATTGTAAACTAGTATCTTTATGAGGTTTTAGTCTAGGTGAGCAGATTAGGAATAATGTACTCTGAAATCATAATTTCAACCTCAACACAGAATTCTTTTAAATGGAAACAACTTGACAGAAGATGAAATTTACATATTTTTGATGACTGAGGTGGACAAAGCATTACTACTCTCTCCATCAAACCCACTCTGGGTTTGATGAAGAGGAGCCTCTACGCTAAAACCTGATGACTCCATTGACACCCAAGCATCCCATTAATCATCGTATCATATCCGGTCATTGGAATGGAAATGTCTCCCAGTCTTCAGCGACGAGTGCTGGTGGCTGGTGAAGGAGTGGTAAAATACGGCAGGATGCTAAAATTGCGACGTGCCTTGGACGGGGGAGATAAGAGGTGCCAATAGGCCCATTTGGATGCTTCCTTTCCCCATTGTAGTTCACGAGTTTCTCATTCAAATGTGTTGAACCTTAGCAGCCGAGACAAACTCTCTGTAGGGGGGTGTGAGCGATAATCTGATTTCTCAGCTACATGGGGAGCACTTCCTGGGAAGGACATCTGGGGCTTCCCATTTGTCCAACCAGGGGCTTGACCCCCCTGTCTGCTGCTAATACACTTTCTTTATTTAACACACACACTTACACACTGTTTTAGCTGCTGCAGGATGAATGGAGTTTGAAACGAGATGCCAGGCTGTTGTAGAAGTGGAGGAAGTCGCTGTCAGTCCGATATCACAGCAATGGATCAATCCTCCGTATGTGTCCCAGAAATATGGTTCATTAGTACAAAATGGGGTTGGTAGACAAGTCAGCTCTTTAGGCTCTTTTCTATTTAAGACTTAAGCACTTCCTTTTAATTATTTTTAGTGTTTTTAAACGAAGAGGAGGAAGTAACCCGAAGACAAAAGCAACTGCCAGAGCAGAAGCTCCTAAGAGCACCGTGACATTCTCCTTTCCTACGTCCTCTCACAGACGGCACAGACTCTGTCTTTGATCAGCACTCAGGAAATTTCATTAGGACAGAGATGAGTGGATAAGAGACCAAATACAGGTTTTATGGTTGGGAGGAGGAAGCAGGGAGTCAAAAAAAGGTAGTAATAGAAATAAAAGGGAGACAAAACAATAATGAGATGATAGGATCAGTTAATTAAGGATTCTTTTAAAGTAAATAAATAAAATACAATATCAAAGGTTGGATGGCTGTAGTTTGAAACAATTAATGATGAACTAAATAGAAACAATTCTTCTGTTTTGCTACCGCCACTGCATCAAGTTTGGGGTCTTAAAAAACACATTTGCCTGATCAGATTGTCATGAAAGTCAACCAGTATTAAGACGAAATATAGTCTAAGACTGATTGGGTTAGTAGGTTTGTTGAAAACTAATACAACCATTTCATGGCAGAATCTATTCAATCAAAAACACAGTGAAAGATTAACTTCTTTGCTACATCATGCAAAAAAATAAAATAAAAAATCAGAAGGCGAAATGCTGACGTTGGCTGAGAGGCGTAGTTTATGTAACGTAACTAATATGACTATCAAGGTGACATTCAAAATGGTTAACATTCATCAAAAACAGATATTTATTTGTACATTTGAAATCAGCCAAAATAACACAAAATTCTTTATTATCCAAACCAAATCAGTCTCCAATCACGTCGGGGTCACCAACTGAAAGATTATATTCAAATGTGAGACTGAAGTAGGTGTAGGAGATCGATTGCATTCTCAGACTAGAGTATATGTTTACAGACATGAAAGTTTACCAAACCTAACTCAGATCTGGTCCATTTCCCAAATCCCCCAATGGAGACTAAGAAAAAACTAACAAAAAACAGATCCTCCCATCATTCTCCTTTCACAACCAACTTAGCTGTCCCTTTGGTGTACATTAAGACCAACAAGGATTACAGAGCTTTCTTTTTTAGTGATTTCTTTTATTA